CCAGCCCGCTGGCACACGTCCTTCATCCTGCTCCAGTGCAGCTCCACCAGCCCGCTGGCACACGTCCTTCATCCTGCTGGCATAGACTTTCTGGCTTCCACCACTGATCTTCGTGCATTTCCAGTGAAGATCTGTGAGACTGGCCTGTGTGAGGCATTGCCACGGGCTCCAGGTCTCCGGCTGGACTCGTGGGGGATCTTCATGAGCTGTAGGTCTTCAGCTGGACTTACGCAGGACACTGCTGTGGGACCCACATCCTTAGCTGGATTTTTGGATTTTTAGCATGTGGACAGATTTCCTGCCCTCTCTGTGTATATGATCCTTGGGTGCCTAAAGCACTCCTCTAAACTGTGTGTCCGGCATTGTTTCCCCTGTGAGCCCCAGGCCACAGCACACAGTCCTGAGCTGCGTGGGGTCCGAGCTGCAGCCCCTCGTCCCTGAGCTCCTGGCGTGCAGGGAAGGCAGAGCTGGCTCTTTGCTGTCGCCAACTCTACACTGCCTGACGCCCAGCCTAAGGCTGTCGTGTGCAGTGAGTTTCAGTATTGGCTGAAATTCCATGAAATCCCTACAGTTAGGCAGAGACTGAGGAGCATGGCTACGGAAACTGGGTGGACACACGACTACAAATATTTCCTGACACGGATGGGGTCAGTCCTCTTGAGGTGGCACTTTACAAATTCAAGGATTAGGTGTGAAGGTGACATAATCTAAACCTTACCTGTGCTTTCCAGTCTTTTTTGTGGAAGAAGTAGTCCTCAAAGAAATTCAGAGGCTCTCTTCTCCTTAGCATCTCGAACTTCTGTATGTCCCTGAAAGGCTTCCCTGTCACCACAGCATCCACATTAGGAAACAATGGGAAGATGGGTATTTTAGAGTACGGGCTATCTGAAGGGAAACTGCGTCCTAGAAAGACAAAAACAAAGACTGTATCACAAGCAATGAAATTTGTTTTTTCAGTGTATTTGGTCATTGCGGAGTCTTCCCTACACAGCTCAGACGTGTGGCGATTCTCCTTTCGGCCTCCCCAGTGCTGGGATTTCAGGCATGGGCCACCATGCCCGGATTCCGGCTGGCTCAGCCCACCCTGAGGGTGGGGCTGGCACAGCATGTGGTGCCTGGGATGGAACTGAGGTCCCTGTTTGCCTAAGCAGGCACTTAGTCCTCTGAGCTATCTCGTTGGCCTCAAGCAATGAAATTCTGATAAGACAAACAGTTGCCGCTCCTCAGTGGCTGTGCCACTCCTCCTCACTCTCCTATTTCCACTGCACGCTGTCTGCAGGCGCCTGGGTTCACCTGGCTCTAAGGACCAAGGTCTCGGGGACCTTTGCTTCTGAATGGTATCTGGGTGTCAGAGCAGTTACTCAGCAGGCTCAGGGCCTGTGCTTGGCCTCAAGGTCTTACTGCTGGTGAGTCAGAGACAAATCTTTTAATGCAGCCAAGAAGACAAAAGACTCCTATGAAGACTATTGGTCTCTGAAGAGAGGGAGTAAAGAGGCTGTAAAAAAATGCAAAAATGGGTGGGAGAGATAGCTTGGTGGTCTAAGCACTGCCTGGCAAGAGCAAGGACAAGGGTTCAATCCCTGGCACTTGCATGCCGGGCTGGCCCTGACCCCTGAGAGTGTTGTGCTGGCCACTGAAATTGGGTGTGGTGGTACACATCTGTAATCCCAGCACTGGGGAGACGGAGACAGGAGAATTACTATGAATCTGAGCTGCGTAGCAAGAACCTGTACCAAATAAATAAATGAAAGATTTAAAAAAAGAAGAAAATGCAAAAACATCTCCAGTTCCTATTAGTCAGAATTGGTTATTATTCAAATGGCCATAAAAACAAGAGTGATCTGTAGATTTAATGCAATCTCTACTAAAATCCATTCTTCATTGAGGTAGAAAAAACCAATCCTAATATTTATACAGAACCAGAAAAGACTCAGAATAGCCAAAGTAATCTTGAGTAAACAGTACAAAGTGGAGCCTGGGCATGCAGGTGCATGCCTGGACCCCAGCACTTAGGAGGCCGAGGCAGGAGGATTTCTCTGATTTCAAGGCTGGCCTGGGCTAAAAAGTGAGTTCAAGGCCAGCTTGAGCTGTATAGTGGAACCTTGCCGCAAAAAGATAAAACAAATAAAACAACAACAACAAAAGGCAATGTGGGAGACAGTACCATTTAGGATTTTTCAAAGTTATACCACAAAGCTATAGTAAAATAAACAAACAACCCAAGAAACCTACGTGATAGTTATATAAAAGTAGTCATACAGACCAATGGAATAGAAAACACAGAAAGGATCCCACACACCTTCGGCCATCTGACGTCTGACAAAGAGGCTGTCTCCGTTCCTTTTTGTCATTGCTGAGACAAAATACCCAATATTCAAAGTTAAAAGAGGACAGGTGAACCGTCAGTTTGTAGGTTTCAATTCAAGGCTGGCTGGCTCGCTCCGAGGCAGGGTGGCGGGGCAGAGGGGCTTCATGGAGGAGAAACAGTGCCCGGCGGGCAGCAAGCGGCAAAGCAGGGAAGCAGCCGCAGGGAGGACAGCGGCCTCCCTCTTCCGTCCTGCCCCTTGCGTCTGGCCAGGCTGCCCGCTCAGGGCAGACAGCGCTCACACCCGGGGAGCGCCTTTCCATGAGCTCACCCAGAACCGCGCAAACCAATCAGTGGCCTAATTTAGCAGTCGCACACCTTCGCCCAGCACCACACACTCAGGTCCAGCCCCTCTGCAAAGCCCCACCTGTGAGTACTCGAGGCTTTGGGGGACTCCAGGCACAAGCCATAACAAGGGCCAAAAAACAAGTCGGAGAAAAGACAGCTTCTTCACAATGTGCTGGGAAAACACAAGGAGAAGATTAAAACTAGGTCCATGTATCGCACCCTGGACTAACGCCCTGGGCTGAAGCACACACCATCTTGGCTTAGGAAAGACCTCCTGGATTAAGGCCACCTTTAGCCGACCTAAACAACACCCCCTTCCTCCTTCCTGTGGGGCAGGACGTTCCAGCTCCTAAGAGGAAAGAGTGAAAAGAGCTGACGGCCCCTCACCCCGTTGTGCAAAATTTCCACTGCACCGACACATTCCAAGCTAAATGAGGGGCCGGGGAGAAAGCTCAGTAGACTATGTGCTTGCCTGGTAGGTGCAAGGGCCTGAGTTCAATCCCCATTTCCGCCAAAGGATAAAAACAAAAACCAAGCTAAATGAGGACACGTTCCTGCCTCCCCAGCCACCTGGAACTCCGAAGTACAGCCCTGCTCAGGGGCCGACATTCCAAACGCCACGTTGGATGCCGTCTGCTGGCTAATCAGGCTGGTCTGTCTCCCCTCGGCCTCGTGGGTATATCTCTGCACTGCACCACAACACTGAAGTCAAGTGAAAATGGCTCAAAGACTTAGATCTCAAAGTAGGAACTTTTTTTTTTTTTTGTGGAACCGGGGATTGACCTCAGGCCCTTGCGCTTGCCAGGCAAGCGCTTATTCTACTGAACCATCTCCCTGGCCCCAGCAGGAACATGTTTGAGGGTACTGTAATCCCAGTACTCCTGTTGACCCCAAACTGGGTGTCTGGGTGACTTAGGAACTTGGGGAGACCCAAAATAAAAATAATAAAGAGGGGACCAGGGAGATAGCTCAGTAGAATAAGTGCTTGCCTGGCAAGTGCAAGAGCCTGAGTTCAATCCCTAATACCTCAGGAAAAAAATAAAAAGAAAAAGGGCTGGGGGTGTAATTCAGTATAAAGGTCCTGGGTTCAATTCCCTGCACCACAAAAACAAAAATTGTCCCCAAACCAAAAATATTGAAACTCCTATAAGATAACTTAGAGGAAACCCTTGAAGCCACAGGTGCAGGCGAGGACTTCTCGAGCGGAAGTCTAATCGCACAGGAAGTAACACCCACAGTCAATGACGAGGGTTATTCAAATTAAAAACCTTCTACACAGCCAGGCTTGGTGGCTCATTCCTGTAATCCTGGCACTCGGGAGGCCTTGAACTCACACGTTCTTCCTGTCTCAGCCTACTGAGTGCTGGGATTATAGGTGTGTATCGCCATGCCTGGCTTATCCTTACTCTGATTTCCACATGTGGCTAACCTTTATGGAGCTCTTATAAGGTACCAACAGCAGGGGGATGGCTGTAAATTCAAGGCCGGCCGTGGCCACGTAGTGAGTTCAAGGCCAGCGTGAACTATATAGCGAGACCCTGTCTCAAAATTAAAAAAAAAAACCCTTTTGAGAGACAACCTACAGAATAGGGCAATACTAGCTACTCTTCTGATAAAGGACTTACATAAATTTGGTCTTTTTGAGGCAGGCTTTACTACAACGTCCAGGCTGGCCTTGAACTCACAGTGATCCTCCTGCCTCAGCCACCCAAGGGCTGGGATTACAGGCCTGTGTGCCCACACTTGGTCAGAGGGCTAATATTTAGAATATACAAAGAAAAAAAATTAACCACTAAAAAGCAAGTGATCCAATTAAAAAAAAAATAGGCTAATGAACCAGACATTTCTCAAGAGAAGAGCCACTGTTGGCCTCACACGCTTAGCCTTTAGGAAAACATGAAAACTACTCTGGATTCTGTCCTACTCCTGGTCAGAACGGCTATCAATGTGCTGGGGGTGGTGGCTCACGCCTGTAATCCCAGCACTGAGGCTGGAGGCAGGAGGATCACTACCTGTCCGAGCTGTGTAGTGAGACCCTGTACCAAATACGTTGAAAAAAAAAAAGTTTGGTTCAGAATGGCTATCGAGAACACAATAGGTAGCCACTACAGAAATTCCTTAAAAACCCCAAACTAGAAATGCTACTGGACCCAGCTGCAGCCCAGCGGGTCCCTCTCAGAGCGCAGGTTTATGGCAGTGTGACAAAGAGCTACGCCCCCGAGACTGCTGGATGCCCGTCAGCAGACGTATGGGCGCAGCTAATAGTGCCTGAAAATACGGTGGATGTTTAATTAAAACAATTGGAGCAAAGGTCACAGCACCATCGGTCCCCCAGGCGCTGCCTCCTGCTCAGAACACCTCGGCCTGTCGGAAGCAGCCGCGGAGGCCCGCCTCGCGCGCACCCCCACGGGGGCCTGCCTCGTGCTCACCTCCGGGGGGGCCTGCCTCGTGCGCACCTCCGCGGGGGCCTGCCTCGTGCTCACCTCCGCGGGGGCCTGCCTCGTGCTCACCTCCGCGGGGGGCCTGCCTCGTGCTCACCTCCGCGGGGGCCTGCCTCGTGCTCACCTCCGGGGGGGGGGGCCTGCCTCGTGCGCACCTCCGCCGGGCCCTGCCCTGCGCGCACCTCCGGGGGGGGGGGCCTGCCTCGTGCTCACCTCCGGGGGGGCCTGCCTCGTGCTCACCTCCGGGGGGCCTGCCTCGTGCGCACCTCCGGGGGGCCTGCCCTGCGCGCACCTCCGGGGGGCCTGCCTCGTGCTCACCTCTGCGGGGGCCCTGCCCTGCGCGCACCTCCGGGGGGGGGGCCTGCCTCGTGCTCACCTCCGGGGGGGCCTGCCTCGTGCTCACCTCCGGGGGGCCTGCCTCGTGCTCACCTCCGGGGGGCCTGCCCTGCGCGCACCTCCGGGGGGCCTGCCTCGTGCTCACCTCCGCGGGGGGCCTGCCCTGTGCGCACCTCCGCCGGGCCCTGCCCTGCGCGCACCTCCGGCTGCGCTGCTGCGGTCGCCCCGCGTCCTGACCCGACTCGCAGCGCTTCCCTTTCGCGGTCATTTTGACTTGGGGAGCGCCAGAGTTGCGCGGGTTCAGATCCAGTAAGGAAGGCCGTCAGGATGCGCTGCGTGGGCTGCCTGCCTGCCGGACGGCCCTGGACGGCCCGACCTTGCGGACACAGTGGCGAAGGCGGCCTCCCGGACGCGTCCGTTGCAGCGCGCTGGAGCACGGGCGTGATGGGGAGGGGATGCAAGGGCTGCAGCGC